TAAAACACAGAAAAAATTGTTTTGGACATAAGAGATTTAAAAGTTTTAAAAATATTGTATTTTCGAATATATCAGACTGTTCAAATTGGAAAAAAATAAATCAATTTAAGTCAAAATAAATGAAATTAAATTATATTAAATTTGAAGAAATTATTAAATTTAAAGAAATTATGATAGATGAAATGAAATGGAATAAAATAAAACAAAAAAAAAAAATAAAAAATAAACAGAATATATTTTAATAAAAAAAAAAGAATTAAAAAAATAAACAAAAAAACCAAAACAAATTTAAGTCCAATGAAACAAATATAATAAAATAAAATTAATAAAAATAAAATAAACCAAGAATATAACTAATTAAAGGAAATTCAATAAAGTACAGTGTAAAATATTATGTAAAATTAAATGAAATAATATTAATTCAAAGAAAATAAAAATTAAAATAAATAAAATGAAAAAATGAAATAGGCTTAAAAAATTAAATAAAATTAAATAGAAAAAATTAAGTAAATTTAATTAAAAATAAAAATTTTAAATTAAACCAAAACAAATAAAGTAAAACGAGAGATATACAAAATAAAAATAAAAAAATAAAATAAAATAAAGTTAAATAAAAAAATAAAATAAAGCTGAAAATAAAATAAAAATTATTTAATAAAATAAACAATAACAATTCAATTAATAAGGAATAAATAAATTTAAAAAATATAATGAAATACAATTAATTAAAATATTTTATAAAATAAGATGAGATAATTAAAAAATTTAGCTTAACTCAAATGAAACGAATAAAAAATGTTATTTTACTAAATTAAACAAAACAATTCAACAAAACAGTAGTTTAATAAAGAATAAATACAAAAAAAATGCAATACAATTAACTAAACTAATTCATAAAGTAAATTGTTTAACAATTAAAAATACTTAGCATAACTAATCAAATGAAATTCAATAAAGTACAGTGTAAAATATTATGCAAATTAAATGAAATAAAATTAATTGAAAGAAAATAAAAATTAAAATAAATAAAATGAAAAAATTAATTAGGCTAAAAAAATTAAATTAAATTAAATTAAATTAAATAGAAAAAATTTAGTAAATTTAAATAAAAATAAAAATCTTAAGATAAACCAAAACAAATAAAGTAAAATGTTTAACAATTAAAAATACTTAGCTTAACTCAAATAAAATGAATAAAAAATACTAAATTTGAATGAAGTAAAATATTACGAAATAAAATTAAATGAAACATTTTAAAATTCCCAGAATTATTCAAAGAAAAAGTCATTCAAACAACAAAGCAAATAGCATAAAGTGAAATAATATAAAATTAAAACAAACTGCAAAGGAACATTAAAACCAATGTTCCCCTCTTCTGATATCAGTGGAACTCAACAGAATTTTGCATTTGCAAACTAGAATACGAGTTGTACATAGTTAACTTCAATGTAAATCTCACCGACAAATAAAATCTAAAACTAAAATTAACTTGCAATTAAAGTACATATAAGTATTGAAAAATTATAAAAATTCTGAAATATAAAAGCCAAATTATAATTATATATACATATACTTATATATATATAATCAAATACTTATACTATATGCACACATTTAGTTGGGCTTATGACGACAATAGCGTCAGTATCTGCATCACCGGTATCTATGTACATACATCGTCGACATGTTGCTGAAATCCAAGAGAAAAAACCCTGCAGCAGCAAGGCAAACCACATTTTGCCACCGCCATAAACTCAACTGAACTGCAGCATTGCTAATCAGCATTTACTTGGTTTAAACATACACTGATACACAATGATGTATCGATAAGTAATATATAATACATGCACATTTATATATATGTATATGTATCAATGTGTATCACGTAGTTGGTATAAGCTTTTAAGGCGCGTCTCTCTAGTTGCCTTTTAGCCGGATTAGGTTTATATATTTACATTTAACGGTTTTTTTACAAACTACACGTTTTCCGCTTTTTTATATTTCGTTTAATTATTTACTTTTATTTTTATTATTTTCATTTTAACGATTGGTACCGTTGTAATGCGTTTTATTGATGACTTTTGTTGCCGCAGTGTGCAACATCTTCAGCTAAAAATTGTTGCCATACGAGTTTATTGATTATTTTATTCAGTTGCTTACTTTGTTGTTTTTTTAAAAAATGATGTACAAAATTTGTAGTTTTTCTCAGGCTAATTTTCAGGTTGCAAAGGACAGGCGGTAATAAATATACAAGAAAAAGTGAGTTATCATTAAAAAAAAGATAAACTTAAAGCCAATTTAAATTAAAAAATCAAAATTAAAAAAAATAAAAATTACAATAAATCAAATAAAAAAAATAATTATTAAGTTAAATTAAACTAAAACAAAATAAAAGGTTTTAAATAAAACAATAAAAAAAATATAAACGAAAATATAATATAATAAAACAAAATCAAATAAAACTATAATTAAAATAAAAATATTAAAATAAATATAAATTAAATCAAATATTATATAATAAATAAAAATAAATTGAAAAAATTAAAAAGAAAAATAAAAAAAATATATATAATATAATTACATAAAAAAAATTAATAAAATAAATTTAAATGAAAATAAATAAAATAAACCCAATTGAGATAAGGTAGAATAAAAAATAAATAAAAGAAAAATGAAAATTTGGTAATAAATAAATGAATAGAATAAAATAGGTTTAATTAAAATTAATTAAACAGAATAAAATACAATAAACAAAATAATGTAATACAAATGGAAATTAAATGAATTAAAGGAAAAAAAATTAAATTAATAAAATATGGTACAACAAAGCAAAATAAAATAAAATAAAATTGAATAAAATAAGGGAAATTAAAATAAAATTCAAAGAATTCGAAAAAAAATAAGAGAAAAGGATAAAATCAAATCAAATAAAATACAAATCCAATTGAAATAAAATAAAATTAATAAAATAAACTAAAATTAAATAAAATAACAGAAAATAAATTATTATAACAAAATAAAATTAAGTTATATTGATTTATAAAAATAAATAAAATGAAACTAAATAAAAAATAAATAAATATTACAAAATAAAATAAAATGGAATAAAGTAAAATAAATTAGGTAAATAAAATTAAATAACATAATATAAATAAAACAAAACAAAGTACAATTAAATCAAATGAAATATAATAAAATAAAAATTAAAATAAAAAAAAAATAAAATAAAGTAAAATGAAATAAAATAAAATAAAATAAAATAAAATAAAATAAAATAAAATAAAATAAAATAAAATAAAATAAAATTAAATAAAATAAAATAAAATAAAATAAAATAAAATAAAATAAAATAAAATAAAATAAAATAAAATAAAATAAAATAAAATAAAATAAGATAAAATAAAACAAAATAAAATAAAATAAAATAAATTTAAAAAAAAATTAAATAAAATTATAAAACGAGTAAAAATAAAAGGAAATAAATAAAATGTAAAACAAAATGAAATAAATTGTAATAAAATAAAATAACCCAAAAAATCAAATTAAAAATAAAATTTGACTGAAAGAAAATTAATTTAATTAAAATAACGTTTATTAAAATAAAATAAAATTAAATAATGAAGTGAAATGAAATAAAGTATATTAAAAAATATAAAGTAGAATCACATAATAAAATAAAGTGAAATAATACAAAATTAAATTAAAAATGAAATAAAATGGAGGTATAATGAAAATGAAATAATAAAAAAACTCAGCAAAATAAAAGAATAAAATGAAACTATATAAATTGAAATAATACAAATTAAAGTGCAATAAAATTAAGCTGCTGAAATTGAAAATAAATAAAAAATATAAAAATTAAAATATAACAAATTCCAATAAATTTTAATAAAATAAATTCATAAAATATGTCATAATTTAATATATGATAAATTGAAATTTCCTGGTATATTATAATTCAACTTGTCATTAATTGTCTGACAATCGTGTGAATATCCGTTAAAAGGCGTATAATAGTTGAAAACCAAAAGATTATCGCTTTAACAACAGTAACTTGAACTTCTGACTTAAGTGTCTACCCACCTTGAGTACATAAATACCTGCTGCTAACATTCTAATACCCACACACACGCACTAGGTTATGCTACGCACTGCTGATGTCGCTCTGACAACCGACCACTCGAACACTGCCAACGACTCAATTGCATATCTAATTGAGTGCAACCCTTCTCACTGCGCTTCTAACTGTAGTACTACCACTCTCCACTCTTAGACTATAAGACACTTTAAATAATTTAAGTATTTTGATTAAATATATATTTGTGTATTTTTGTTCAACTGATTCTCTGGCATTGTGTGAATAAGGCCAGGGTTAATCGTTTTAATGGCATTACTAATAGAGACGCCCCGCTGTACGCCACATCACTGTGTCGATTTACGTCGATTTAAGTATATTTGAACTTCTGTTTAACCACTTTACATTTTGTACGTGATTTATCGCAAATTTAGGCTAATAGCTGCTTACAAGCAGTAATATACGTATGTACGTCTATAGACCATTCAAGAATTATAGAAAAAACTCAAAGGAAATAGAAACAAAGAAAAATGATAACAAATGACTTTTGCTGCGTGTGAGTGGCATACATTGACGGATAGACTTTAAAATAAGTTAGAGCATAGGTAGTTGTATTTGTATGTATGTAAGGGTGAATGATTTTAAAAATAATATTTCGTGTGTTACTCTATATAAATTGTTTCAGAATTTGTCAACAAAGAATGAATTGAATTTTTTAAATTTTTTTTATTTCAATGAAGATTATAAAACAAAACTAAGCAAAAATTATGTTAATTAATTAATAATTTTTATATACTTAAATAATAAAATTCTTTATTTTATTTTATATTTTTTCATACATTTCATATAAATATATATGTATATATATTATTTTTCAAATATATCAACTAAAATCTCCCTCAATCTGCCTCTTCTCTCTTTCCAGTATCACAAACAAATGTCACCCACACAACTGCAATCGGTCTTTCACGTCGACGATGTAGCCTCGGTGCCACACTACGAAGTCGTCCAGTTGCTACATCACAGTTTCGATGATGGCGTAGCGTCAGCAGCGCTGCCAGAACATTATCGCCGTCGTCGGCGACGTAGCATTCAGAGCGAGAGTGCAGATGCGCGCTTAGTACTCAAAGAGCCGCATCATGTGAAAAAGGATTTAAGTAAAAATCCTTACTACAGCGAATTGAAGGCGGCTGCTAATACTATTGGCGGTGTGAATAGCCTACAGCAAGCGACGAATGGCAAATTCACTGGTGATTTACGTGAATTAAAGGAGCATAAGGTCTCATTCAATGCTTTTGGTGAGAATTTGAATTTGACGCTGAAAAAGACAGATAGTCTGTTCAAGGGCGGTTCGCCGCATACGTTGCGTATGTGGACGGTGCGCGATGAGGCGAATGCAACGCAGGGTTTGGATTTGCAGGAGGTTTTTGATGAGGTGAGTGTGAAGAGTAAATATTTAAACCATATACTAAAGTCTTAGTTTAATGCTTATTTACCGCTCTCATTTTATTTAATATAAATTGTTTACTAAATTTATTTTAAATATTTTATCATTTATCAGCCACGAAAGACCCAATTCAGCTTTGCTAGATATCGATCCTAATGATATTACTAGAATTAGTTTTATCGTATTTCGCATTCGATGGCAATTCAGCTTTAAAAAGGAACCAATTCAGCGCTATTCAGCGACTCGAAAAGTTATTTGTTAGCTTTAACTTTAGTCCAAAAAATTAGCATTCAACTTTTAGTATTAATTTAATTGCCAATTTTTACATTTGAGTTATAACAGAGTTCATTTCAATCCTTGAAATATATTTTCATTTATTCAGCATGCGTCACTTTATCTTAGTTGAGCTTCAAATATGATGATTACCAATTCAATCAATTTGAAATATATTCAGCATTATATAAATCTTACGTTTAGCTCACTAACGACTCGGTCGTAATTTGTTTTTATTCCAATTTAACTTTTCTACGTATTCAGCTCAAGTCTTCAAGCATAATTTAAAAACTTATAATTTTCAAATAAAATACTTCCCACTTTCAATGGAAGTGTGTTTATATCTCCAATTCAAATTTTAAACATATTCAGCGCATATAGCAAATGCAAAATGTATTCAGCATGATATCAAACTCAGCCTATATTTCGCACATAACCAATTTGTGAACCTCATGCAAAACCCACTCCGTCTCAGTGGAATTTTGTTTATATTTTATGGCTTTTAATATTTTCAGCACTTTTACAAGTGTGTCTTCTTCAGCGGGATAGAATTCAGCGCCAAATTTTCTTGTTGATTTTTTTAGAAACTTCTTGCCGAATTTTGCTCAATTGTAACAAATTGGTGTTTAGTAAAACAATATTTTTTTATTCAACAAATACCGAAATGTTCATTCAAGCTATCCAGTTAATTCAGCGTCACTGCATTAACTTATTTTTTTCCATATATTGTGCCAATTATTTTCTATATTCCACGAAAACGCTCAAAGTGGCGTGAAAATTTTATTCAGCGAGTTCTCAGCTTTTTAGTCAACGAATTATCAAGCTATCATATTTAAGCTATTTAGCGTTTTGTAAGCACCCATAATCTCACTCACTCTTCACTAATAAATTTAGAAATTTTCGTAAAAAATTTATAATAAAATATTCAGCGCACTAACCAGCAATTCAGCTATTGATTTTTATTACTTACTTTCCGTAACGGACCATTTATACTTTTAACGATTATATTTCTAAGTGCATTTACCTGCTCTTCAACAAAGTGGTATATTATAACTAAAAATATTTATTTTTTAAATATTTTAATTGCACTTTCTATTTTCTGCTGGATTGTGCACGTATTGAGGTTAGCAAATTTGTATCCCTTTTTAAGCTTAATTAATTGGATTTTTCTGCTCTACTATCGATTTTTTCGTTTCACTTTCAATTTAAAGCAATTTTATTATTTTTTATTTGATTTTTTCAATTTTTGTTTTATAACCCACTCATAGCTATTTATACTGACGATTTTGTTTACCTATTATATTTACTTACACATTCGTTTTCGCAAGTAATCAGGCATTCACTCGCACCCTCAGGCTATGAATTTATTAAGCTATACTTATACAATTACTAACTTCCGCCACGAATTTATGTAAATTGAAGTGTATGCTTTCTTTCAAATAAATGAGAGTTTTGAAAACTTTTTTATAATCCGAAATTGTTGGTATTTTTCTGCAGGAATTTTAGCAACCCGAAACCTCATACAGCTCTTATTTACATAAAAAAAAAATTTATTTCCCACTAAAGAAAATACCTTTAAGAATTCTTGTTGAATAAATAAAAAAGGTGGAGTTTCAAAAAAGCTTTGATCACATTTTTTCAATTCAGCGCAATTCAGCAGACCTAAATATAATCTTTACTTCTCACAACTTAATTAAGCGCACTAAAAGTATAATGATTGTTACTTACAATAATTCAATGCAATTCGACAACTCAGAACATAATTCAGTGCACTTAAGTATGAAAACCGTTGCATTTCCATGAATCTTAACGTCTGTTTAAAACTCAATTCAGCGTAATTTAGTACACCGAATCTCAATTTAGCTAACGTAAAAATTTAAAACCCAATTTATATAATTTATAAATATGTAGAAGTCATTTTGTTAGGTTGCAACTGTATCATTTTCATATTTAACTTAAAAATTGTATTCAGCAGAATTCAGCAACTCAAAACTTAATTCAGCGCACTAAAAGTAAAAAAAAACTCATAAACATTACCAATTTTTTAACTCATAAATTCAATTCAGCGCAGTTTAGTACAATTCAGCTAAAACCAAAATTTAAAACTCAATATTTAAAGTTTATAACTAGTTAAAAGTCATTTGTTTGCAATGAAAGCGTAACAATCTTATTTCAAAAACTCAATTCAGCACAATTCAGCTACTTAAAACCAAATTCAGCGCACTAAAATTATTAATATTATAAAATTTAACATATTTTTACTTCATGGATTTCAATTCAGCAAGTGAAAACACAACTCAGCTGCGGTAAAATTTTGAAAATTAATTGTTTATCATTAAAATAAGCACTTTTGCCTGCAATGATAAATTCAGCAATTACAAAGTATATTCCTGCAGCATTTTAAGCTAAAATTTCGATCCCGCTTTGTTTGAAAACTCAAACTAAGAGTAGCATTCAGTTATCAACGCGCTAAACACTGCTAAATGCACCTTGATCGCACACACACAATGCTGTTCCCAGGCAAAAAAAAAAAGTGTATATTCAGCACTTTTACTTTACATCTTACAGTTTGTATTTTAATTTCTCTATATGCAGTTGCATAATTTCCAACTAGCGCAAAAACCGTAAAAAAAGAGCGTAATAAAGCGTGTTTATAGTACTGTGCTTTCTTGCATGTGGTGAGCAAAGACAAAAAGTGGTGGCCATCACAGCCGAGGTTGGTTTCTTGGCAAGTGTTAGCAACGCTGCCGAGCGAGCTCCCTGTAACTTCGCTCAGCCTAAGCCTTATACTTTACTGTAAAACTACTCAACTTTAACTATACGAATGCAGCTTTTTTCTGAATAGTTTCCAAATCACGCGCTTTCTCACTCCTCACCACAGTCCGTAATCTCAGCGGGCACTCATTGCATTGGCCAGCTGTTGCAACACTGTGCGCGATGTATGCAACTACATTTGTTGCTAGTAAAAGTGTTGATTTTTTAATATTTTTTGTTTTCTTTTTTCGTTTCTACTGTTTTTTTTTTGTGCTCCAATTTCGAATGCGCATTTGAAATTGGCGTGCATAATGCAAATTCGCAGCCGTTTGCAATATTCGATAGTTTTATCGGAGCAAATAAAAAAATCGAAACTATTATTGAGGGAAATGAAAGCCGAAAGGGGCATATTAGGGTGAACCAGAAAACGAGTAGAAGGGAAAAGAAAAAAGTTAAAAATAGTGAAATACAAAAATGAGAAAAAACCAAATAAATTATAATAAATTAAATTAAATGCAATAAATATTAAGTAAAATGATAAAAAAAAATTATAATTAAATCAAACTAGATTATATTAAATCAAATAAAACAAAGTAAAATAAATAAAATTAAATAAATAAAAGTGACAAATAAAATAATATAATATTATATACAATTTAATTAAATGAGATTAATAACGCAAAATAAAAAAAAAATCAATTATATTAAACTAAATTAATATAATATAAATTAAATAAAATAGAATAATATAAAATAAATAAAATGGAATGAAATTATTTAAAATTAAATTAAAAAAATAGAGATTTAATAAAAAATAAAATTAAAAATTAAATAAAATAAAGCGAAAAGTAAAAGAAAAAAAAATCAGGAAAAATTAGCTTAAATAAATAAATACAAACAAAATAATATAAAATAAATGAAATGAATGAAATAAATGAAATAAAATAAAATAAAATAAAATAAATGAAATGAATGAAATTAACTAAAGCTCAATTAAGTTAAATTAAACTAAAAAAGCAGAAATTTAATAAAGTAAAATAAAATGAAATGAAACTAAAACAGAGTATGTTAAAATAGAATAAAATTTAAATTGAATAAGTTAAAAAAAAAAAATAAAAAATTAAAAAAGTAAAGAAAATAAGTAAAATAAAATATAATGAGATAAAATTAAATGTAACACAAAATTTAAGTAAAATAATATAAAATAAAATTAAATAAAAATAATAAAACAAAAAATTTAAATCAAATAATATAAAATAAAATTAATATAATATTAATTAAATTAAAAAATAAAATAAAATAAAATAAAGTAAATAAATGAAAAAATTTAATTTAAATAATAAAAATTGCAATTAAAATAATATATAATTAATTAAAATAAAACAAATGAAATAAAATAACATGAAAAAGAATAATCTAAAATAACATAAAAACTAACATTAGAAAAAAGAATTAATGTAAATAATTAAAAAAATCTTACATCTTAATCAATAGTTTCTACAAGTTTTTATGTTTCATTATAATTCTATGTTCAAAAAACGATAATCTCCTATGAGCACCCTAAAGCATATATATTTATGCAAATACTGGCGGACAGTCGTAAAATCACACATACACAGCCGACATTAAATTGTAATGAGTATTGTATCCAAACAATATTTCTGCACCTAAGGGTCCATCGCGTGTGACTACTTGATTATTCCCCCTTGTAGTTTGGTTTTCCCTCATTTGTTTGTTTACCTGCAATTCGTTACATTTAATTTTCGATTTTACCACTCTCATTACAACTGGGCAATCGCATTAACATTAAACTAAATAATAATGGGTGCACTAGGAAAAGAAGGAATAGCAAAACAAATAAAAAAATGCAAATAATTAAAAAAAAAAAGAAATTAAAGTAAATAATGCAAAAAAAATGTAATAAAAATAAAAGAATGAGAAAAATAAATACTCAAAAAAAA